AGCCAGATAGAGTTCTTTCTCAAAACTTCCAACAATTGTCTCAGTACATCCCGCTGATTGCAGTGGATCATATGCCCATTTCTGAACCAATCACAGCAACTAGAGTAATATAATTCGCTAATTACCCAGAGGTCTATCCCAGAGCCCATCTCTAAAGCTGGAGATTACATCTACTCCACTGGAATGAAGGACAGGTACAGAAAGTCAGGAATAGAGTAGTTTGCCAGAGGAAAATTGGGGTATAGTCACCCAAAATAAGGTAAATGGATGCAAGGAAGCAAAAATAAAATAAAGGTCAGAGATCATTATAGTGGTCCTGATCTAGGATGTCAGGGTAGAGAGCTCAGGGCAATTACGAAATTGTACATGATTTTGAAACTGGAAAAGTCACAGAAGCTAGGTTGATGATTTTTCTGTTCCAGGCTAGGATCACCAGGTAAGGTTGTGCAGTTCACCATATGCTATGGCACTTTTCCAAGAAGTTATGGTGTGTGTACATGTTCTATTCCAGGATATTCCATTTGGATGCTTCTTTTAGCATTTTCCCTGCATTTTACCATTATCATCTGAAATTTATAATCAAATTATCTTAAACACCCTGAAAGCAGTTCTAACTATTATAGAAGAACTGCTTTCAAACATGCAGTAACTAGCACTGCAACTACTTAACTAAGTTCTATTCAGACTTCCCATGAGATTTCACTTCTGACCGAGTGGTTTTCAGCACAGGAAAAAGGGGGTGGTTAGAGGGAGAAGGCTGGTGTGGAGGGGTGCTGTTAGAGGAGAAAGAAGGAGAGTGAAAACACAGGGTCACATTTACAGTTATACACCATGTTTGTCCAGTTGTCCACTGGACCTGTGATTGTTGGAGTTTCTGCCCCTACTCAAAGTCTCCCCACCCAGGGTCGCCTCCCAGGTTCTCACGGAAGAACCTTCTCCACCTCCTGTGGAGTACCCATTGTTGCCTGACATCTCCTCCATACACACATACTCCCTAAAAAGCCACTCAAGAGGATCTCACTGGCACAGGGGCAGTCTGTTCCCACAGTGAGGCCACCAACCATAAAGGATCATCCTTCCCAGAGTCCCCGAGAGCACTCCAGGTATCACCACTGCCAGTTCCCCTTGTCGGAGCCCCTGGGTACCTTGACAGCTCCTGACAGTGTAACTGTGCGAGAGCCTTTCAGATTCTGCATTCTGATGTCCTCAATTCACAGAAGCCCCACTTCTGTTCTCCACCAAAGGGTTTGCCCATTTTGTGTTCCACCTTGTCACACAAATATCAAAGCAGAGCAACCAGGCACCCTTAGGTCTCCTGGAGTTGTTAGTGGGAACAGGATAGTAAAAATGATGGACACCACTATGTATTCAAAACCTTTTCAACTACCAAGGCTAGTAGAGCAAGCCTGGGTGCCTAGAACTCTCTTCAAGAATTTCCACCATGGACAGAGAATACATAATGCTGACGGGCCTCTATGCAAATAGGCTTCTAGTGAGTCAGTGACCTCACTGGCTTGGTTTTGACAAAAGGAGTGGATGTGTCCTACTGCCTGGAGTGAGAGCAGCAGCTTAGACTCAAGCTTGAGACTCACTAGCAGTAAATAATTCTGATGATGACTTCAGCCAGGAGAAGGTCCAAGCTGGAGCTTTTGTTCAAAACTGGGGAGTCCCAGGGGCATGGATTACAGAAATGTTACTCTGTTTCTCTTAGAAACTCCTTTTTTTTTTTTAAGATTTTATTTATTTATGTAGCAGAGAGAGAGAGAGAAAGGGAGAGAGAGAGCACAAGCAGGGGGAGTGATAGGCAGAGGGAGAAGCAGGCTCCCCGCTGAGCAAGCAAGGAGCCCGATGCGGGGCTCAATCCCAGGACCCTGGGATAATGACCTGAGCTGAAGGCAGACGCTTAACGACTGAGCCACCCAGGCACCCCTCTCACAGAGACTTCTGTCATAGAAAGTTGTTTATGACTCTTCTTGACATATGAAGAACCTTTTTTTTTTTTTCCCAGCTAGTGAGTGGCTGGAACTAGAATCCAGATAATTTTTTCTTTTCACTCCTCATGGAAAAATCACAAGAACAACAGGGCAAAGATTACTGACACTCACAGCTTTAGCATCTACCACATTTGTCCCAGATTATGGAAGACTTGCCCTTATACAATCCAGATGACTTCTTATTCTGTACTCTCATGAGAAATGTTAGAGAGAAACTGTCAAAATTCTGTGAACTTTGATTGGCACCTCTTCCCCAGATTTCTATGACAAAGCCAAAGTCTTACATCTTATTTTCCATGGCAGGTACCTTGACTCTTTCAGGGTTTTTTTTCCCACTGATTTTTTTCTCCTCTGTGATCCATCTAAAAGGATGTCCTCATCTTCTAAATGATTTTCTCTCCCACACTTACTGTATTTCCCCCAGAAAACCAGGATATGATTCTAGAATGTTAATGAATGCATGTCTCTGTAAACTTCACAGTTCCCTCTGATGTTAGCCTCCCCTCCAAATGTAGTTCTCCAGAGGTATGGGAGAGTTTTCACAGAACAGAAAACAATAAAGGTTTAGGTCATTTTAATAATGGAGAAACTGAAGAAAAGTAAGAGTCACACAAAGACATTCTAGGAACATGACTGGGACACACGTGATCTTGTCCCCAGGCTACTAGACAGAACCTATATATTATTCAAAAAATAATCCTGCTGACCCTCTGATCTCTGTGTATAATTAGGTAGAGCTCAGATTCTCCTTAAGAGAAGTGTGTGTGTGTGTGTGTGTTGTGTTTGGCTCATGGCATTTAGTCCAGATAAATAGTTTTCCAATTGCTTACAATAAATGCAATGCTTCCTGAAAACTAACAATAATCTCATTCAATTCTGCCTCCCTCTTCTTCATTCGTGTGACTAAACAAGGACCTATGAGACTAGTCCCCATGTCACCACCATGAGTGACTGAGTTGTCAGCCTTTCTACTAAAGCTCCTACCTGGATCTCAATTAGTGCTAATTATTATTGGGACTCCATTACCCAAGTGAGGAAATGTCTCCCCTGATAAAAGCTATGCTTTTATTTTTGCCTGCTTCTGAATCAAACATCCAAATTTCTAGTGATCCCAACACCTGACCTATGAGCAGTGGTAAGACAACATGGCGGGAGTATACCTCCACAGCACCAAGTCATGAAGACCCAAAGACAATGTTGGTAGGAGTATTCTGTACCTAAACAAAGATTAGCTGCCATTGGCATCTGGCATTGTACTGATAGGAAGCCCATACCATTGTTAAAGGAACAGCTTAAAAGGAAAGGAATGGCAACCTCCTTTGTCCCCAACTCTGCTGCTTCTCACTTAGTACCCAGCTTCACCAGATCTGCCTCCAATCCCCAGCTGGGCTTCTGCTGATCTTACCTCTAGGACAAGGTTTCTCAACCTTGACACTGTTGACACTTCAGATCGGATAATTCTTTGTTGTGAGTGACTGCCTATGCATTGTAGGATATTTTGCAACATCCCTGGCTCTAACCACTGGATGCTGGTAGCACCCACTACTTGTAAAAGCAAAAATATCTCAAGACATTGCCACGTACCCCTAGAGCAAGGAGCAAAGCTGCCCTTGGTTGACAACCGCTCACCTAGGGTCACAGAACGTGGAGTCAGGAAGAGGTCACAGGTAAGCTGGCTCTCAAAGGATGATTGTTAACCTTTCTGGTATCCTAGTACTCTCCCAGAATTTGGTAGAGAAAAATTTCTTACCCAGTATCCACAAAAGCACATAAGTAGATATAGGCAAAATTTTACTTCAGACACCCCCTCGAGCCCAAGAATTAATGCCCTAGGGCATTAGTCTCTTTATATCAACATTAGAATCTTTTCACACAGGACTTTCCCAAGAAGCAAAGCAAAAACAAAATAAAAAACAAATACTGCAAATGTAGTTCAAATACAGACAAGTTTACAAGATGGAGATATCTTATCTTAAAATAACTGAAATCTAGTCACAAAATGGTTTGGCACCATTTAAGAGCTCACAAGCTCTAGACTTTTTTTCTTCTATTCTGAGTGAGCTCATTTTCCCAGCTCCACCTGCATCCCCTTTCCTTCCCAGAAAAGCACTGAACTGGAAGCAAGAGTAGTAATAGCTAACTTTTATCTAGCACTTACTAAGGGCCAGACCTTAGTTCTGAGCACTGTTCTGAGCATAGCAACTCCATGGGATAAGTACTACGCTCTAAAATATGTGTGGTCCACAGTCCTAAGTGGACAATGGGAAGTAGTTATCTAACGAAAAAGGAAAGTCATACATTTCCAGGATGTATAACTTTCACAAACAATGCTACAGACATCTAAACAACTACATTTCCTCCCTGTCCCCCTTTCTCCCTCAGTTTCCCTGTCCCTTAGGAGGGAGGTAAAGCTTTGTTTCTTCATTGCATCCTGACTAGTTTCCAGTGAATTCAAATGATTCGGGTGTCATTTATCATTGTTCCTCAAAGTCTGGCCCAAGAACCATCTGAGGATGAATCACCAGGAGTCCTTACTAAAAATGCAAATTCTTGGGTCCTACCATAGATCCACTGAATTAAAATTTTGGAGGATGATGCCCAAGGCTGTGCTTTAAGCAAGCTGTTTAGATGATTCTGATACATACAAAAGTTTGAGCTCAGTTTAGACTTCTATGATTGGTTAGCTCAGCTAGTTAGAGCTAATTAGACTGCAGTTCAGTTCTCAGACAGAAGAGCCAACTTTGCTTGGCAGTTCTACTTCTACCCTTTCCTTATTTATTCAGCATTCTTCCCAACTAAAAACAGCTAAACAATATGGGGAATTGGGGGAAACAGTCTGGATAGATAAAGTCAAGTTTATTATCCAAACTGGAAAACTAATTTCAAGGGCATCATTTTTATTCACAATGGACAATATTTTTTTTCCATTGGCATTTCTTGAATGCCTAACTAATAATCAATACACAGTATTAGTTTCCAAAAAAGGAAAACATCAGTGAGACTTACCCCAGTTCTTGGTTAATTCATGTCTGGGTCTTAGGTCCAAAGATCTTAAGGGCAGCGGAGCCTGTAATTCATTCTATGGAGCATCTTGCAAAGTTACATTGTGGGTGGATTCTTTTTATAAAATATGGTCTATAAAAGCTCTCAATGGAGGAGCACCTGGGTGGCTCAGTTGGTTCGGATCAGGTCATGATCTCAGGGTCCTGGGATCAAGCCCTGCATTGGATTCCCTGCTCAGTGGGAAGTCTGCCTCTCCCTCTGCTTCTGTGTTCTCTCTCTTACTCTTTCTCTCTCTCTCAAATAAATAAATAAAATCTTAAAAAAAAGAAAAAGAGCTCTTGGGGCACCTGGGTGACTCAGTCGTTAGTCGTCTGCCTTCGGCTCGGGTCATGATCCTGGAGTCCTAGGATCGAGCCCCACATCAGGCTCCCTGCTCCATGGGAAGCCTGCTGCTCCCTCTCCCACTCCCCCTGCTTGTGTTCCCTCTCTCACTGTGTGTCTCTCTCTCAAATAAATAAATAAAATCTTTTTTAAAAAATTTTAAAAAAAAAAGAGCTCTCAGTGGGATAACCAAAGCCAATTTACAAAGTTGTGCCTTGCCCATAAACCCTGAGTAGTAGTATTTCTTCACCCACCTAACTCCTGAACTACCAAACCTCTCAGCAGTTTAGAATCACCCTCAACCAAACCAAAGCTAATAAAAGCCTTTGAATCTTACTTTCATTCAAATCAAACAGTATCTCTGAAATAACTTTTACTTAAGCTGCCAATGACAGAAATACTATCCGATTTTTTTTTTTTTTTTTGGCTAAACTATATAGAAACATTGGTATTATTGTAGAGAATACATAACCAAAAAAAGGAGTCAGCTTCTTCCTTTGAGAAATACTAATTAGTAGCCTGGTAGTCAGTGCTTGGAAGTGAGCACGAGAAAGTGTCTCCCAGTAGATGAGCTCCAATACTGTTTTCCCAGCAGGAACTGTGTGCCAGGACGCTCCTTAGTTACAAGCAAGTTTTATTGTTTTCCCTAAATGGAAATAAAATAGTCTGGTGGTAGAATGGAATTAGAGAAACGGGACTTCATTTGGGAGCCTTACCAATCCTGTTCAGTTTTCCATAACTCTCTGAATGTTTCAGACCACGGTTCCAGAACAAATGTCGTAAATTCTACCACATTTCATCCCCTTGGTTTGACTTTGACACAGTTATGTGATTAATGGTGCAAAACCATTCTTCAACTTTGCACAGCATTCTGTGCTTCAGCTTCTCATCGGTAAAACAAAACATAACAACAACAACAAACAAAAAACCCCATTTCGTTTGCACTGCCCTTCCCTCTCTATAGAATCCTAAGAAGTAACGAAGGATCTACAGCACTTTTTTTTAAAAGGCTTCTACTTTCCAAGGCCTTTTTTTAGGTGAAGCATTAAATAGCTTGCATTATTCTCTCTCCCTGACACTTTAAAGGGAGAGTTGATGTGGTTAAACAAATTTTCATTAATTCCAAGTAGATCATAAAATATATTGGAAGTAAAACTCAATCCTTCTATTTTCCTTTTTAACTAGACCTAGATGTTTTGAAGATATAAAGACCTTTTTAAACTTTTCATTGCGTCTCAAATTTCTAATATATTTGACATTTATTCTGTAACCACTATGTCCTGGGCTCCTTCATATATATAAAACATCATTTAAGCTTCTCAACAAATCTGAGGACAGGACTACTATCTCCATTTTACAAACAAGGGCCTGAGGTTCAGAAAAACAAAGCATACTTGTCCAATGGCACAGAGCTAGTAATAAGATTCAAGTCCTGGTGTCCTAACTCCACATTTAAAGTTCAGTCAGTTGTCCTATAGCCATTACCTAGTTAGGTACAACTGCTCAGAATAAATGAGTGATCAAAATTCAGAGTTTCTACTGCGCTAAAGAATCTCCTATGCTCTATATCCTGCACTCCCGTGAGGCAGTTTTTCACATATTTTGCAAGGTTGGCACGCTCTCATGTTCTCACTCTTCCCCAATCATACTTGTTTCACCTGCGTGAATTATAAGAGAAGTATCCACAGACTTACTTCTTTTTTAAAGCTTTTAAGAAAAGCCAGTCATTGGAGAGGATATGGAAGTAAATATGCATGACACAGTGTGACATGACCCAGAGAATTCCTTCCACTCAACTCAGTCTCTAAGTCACCATTTCTAGTCCACTCTGCTGTTGCCAGGGGCAAACAATGCTGCTAAGCACACCAGAACTCTTGCAGGATCTTTCTAAAGGTTCCCTGCAAAATGCATTGTTTTTATAACTGCCAGTTAAGTGATGCCTTGGCTGCATTTGAGGAAGAGTGGGGACATCCAGTGGCCACCTAGGTTGATAACAACGGAATTATCACTACAATGATTCGTTATGATTTGATATAAACCCTTGTGCTGCAAAGAATGCTAAAAGATTTTTGGTTTTAACAATTTTTAAACTATCATAAATGGGATCTTTGGTAGCCAGCTACTTGTATTTAGAGTTCAATTGGCAAGTATATCTCCCCAAATAAATTTATTTTTGGATACCTGGTTCATAGTCCACTGCTCAAAATGATCTACCACATTAAGCCAAAGTAAGTGATGACATTAACTGCCCCCCCCACCAAAAAAAAAAAAGATTCTGAACATCATAAGCTTTTTTTTTTTTTTTTTTTTTTTATTTATTTGAGAGAGAGAGAATGAGAGACAGAGAGCATGAGAGGGAGGAGGGTCAGAGGGAGAAGCAGACTCCCCGCCGAGCAGGGAGCCCAATGCGGGACTCGATCCCGGGACTCCAGGATCATGACCTGAGCCGAAGGCAGTCGCTTAACCAACTGAGCCACCCAGGCGCCCAACATCATAAGTTTTTTGACTCAGTCCATTTACATGGATGACCTTCTGGCCTCAGGGTATGCATGGTATAACAATATTGAAGAAGTCTTCCCTTTGGCAGTAGGAAAAGAAATGATAAAGTTGGAGGGGGCAGGAGGTCTCATTGACCAGCTAGTGCAATTTGGGAATTGAAATTTTTTTCAGTGAGGAAAGAACACACGTGTCTTTTATTCTCTCTAGAATAATATTCTTGAAAGTTGTTTGGTGTTATTCTGTCACGAGATGAAAGAGTTTGGCCAATAAAAAATATTATGTCATATTGTTCTCCTGGAATGCAGTTTAATTATTATGCTTGTAATTTTTCCTCCTGTCACATGGGAAATTTTAAAACCATTCAAAACTCAACATTCATATCCTTATCTGAATAGAACAGACAAAGTTGGAGAACAGGTAAACAGATCAGGGACAAGGACAAGGGAACTCCTAAGATGGAATCTTTGGAACATGCATCATTATATCTGCCCTCCGAGTGGCTTAACTCAGGGGCAGTCACCCTCAAAAAAGTTGCACATAGGTGCATCTAGCTTTGAGGTTTCCTCAGTGTTGGTCCATCCCCTGGCTTTCCACAATCGTCACTACAGGTCTTAACGGGCTTGGCTTGTAAGGAGTTCTCCAACCTTCCTTAACCTTCCCATCAATCATCAATACAATCGTGGTATACAATCTCAGGACTCTGCTCCCAGGGAGATGTTCCTAATCAGAGAGGAAATTAATGACTCTTTGGAAATTCAAGGGTAAAGGATAGATGCTGGTTCACAGTGTTAGTGCTCCAAAGGAATTTTTCCCTAATAGAAGGCAATGCTTTATCACATAAAAATAACTTGCAATGTTGGAATTTCAAACACAATGGCAGGTGTTCAAACTGTCCATCTCGGAGATTTAGAAATCCTACCATGTAGACTCTTATCTATAAATAAAACCGATCTTAATTCTTATCCATTAAAAACAATCAGAAAAAATGAAGTCCTGCATTCTGGCACCCTCATAAAGCTCTAGATTTTTGCTTGACAACAAAAAAATATTCACGTATACATTGTGCTTAACCCTACGTCATCCACATTCACCTTAAATACAAAGCTCATGTACACAGCCCTAACGAGTCTTCTAGGTATTCCCTTTTTGAAGTCTGTCATCTCTGTTTTGTAGTAACACAGTGTTACATTTTAGGATTGCTGAGAGCAGTGTTCCAGCTCTGACTCTCCCATTTATTAACCATGTGACTCTGCACTAGTCAGTGCACATTTCAAGTTTGGCTTTCCCATCTGTGAAATGAATGAAACATTCTCTCCCGCCATTTCCTTGTTTGTCACTGATCCATTTGTCCAGTGTTACAACAATACAAACATCATCTGACACCTTGGGGTCTTTGTAGTAGATTCCCTCCTTCCAAAAGAAAGAACCACCGAAGTTTCACCACCACACAGAAACTCTGTACTTGGTTAATTATATACCAACATTTAAGCTGGATGATGTGTGGCGCAGAAATGCCCCCAGATCCTCCTCCAGACTCCCAGAGTACTTTATTACACCTCCTATTTCTGTGAGATGTAGAAAAGGGGAAGATGAAATGAGGACCCAGGAATCTTGCATCTCACTTTCTGCTCTAAACAATAATTACCATGATTTCTGAGGAAAGCAGAAAAAAAGAGCAGTCTGCCGCTCACGCCATGGTTCTCAACAGTTTGCCATAAGACGCATTTGAAGATCTTTCTCATTTCTTTCCTGCCAACACAGGAATAGGGGGCAGATCAGCAGTGAGGGATATCACAGGAATTTGCTTTCTCTGTCTTAAGAAGAGCCATTCCGTTTCTTGCCTGAAGTTTAACTTGATTATGCATTCATTAAAGACGAGCGATGGCAATGATTAAACAAAAACATCTTTAAAATGCAGAGTTCATTTCAGCCCATTTGGTTTTGTTACACACAAATTGGATTTGCATTGCATCCTGCACAGCAGGTACTCCACTTGAAATCAAAGACAGATGCTTTTATGGGATTAAAAAGAAAACCTAGGGGGAGGGGGAGAGGGGTAGATATTGAGATATTTTGCATTTCGGTAATAATGACTCCAAAATGAAATAGTGATCGCATTGCCGCTCTATCCAGATAAGTGTTTGGGCTATAATTAAAAGGAAACAGGAACCCCCCCATCATAACTTGAATCGTTGTCACAGAAGAACATTTAATTTGCAGGGGAAAATGATTTTTCCCATAAATGTCTAATAATACCTTAGCATATTTGAAATTTAATCATAAGTGGCTTAGAATTAAACCATTTGAATTATTACTGAAACATTTCAAGTGGTGACATTAAATGCTTTGTTTGAAATTAGCCATTAATTCAAAAGTCTTCTCTAGCACAGCTGTGAGAGTTTAACTCCTTGTCTGTAAACAGAAGTCCCTGGTTCTCACACTATATAATTAATGGGCATACCTCTAGAACATTCACATCGCTGGCTATTTACTCTGGCACCTCCAGTTAAATTACACTGGACATTATAATTTTATAATTGATATCATTTGC